GCATTCGTGAGCGAAGCCATCCTCCAACACCGCCCGGGCACTGGATGCTTCGTTACCTGACATGGCGGAACGTAATGCTGTCATCGAGAGGCTTCTCATGTTCTGTCGAGCTACACTGCGACCGCCAGCTTGAGACTTCGTCTTGCAGCGTCTGCATCTCCGCGGAAAGATCTACAATCCTTAGGAGGCGGTCTCCTATCCAAAATTGCCGCGAACACTCTCAGCTCAGGCCGGGCGGCCGATCCGAGCGCACTTTGGCATCAGCTTTTCGGTCCGATAGCTCTTTCTCCAACTCGGTTCTCCGATCTCGCGCCGCTGCCAAGTTGGCCTTTGCACCGGCAAAAACGGTCTGCAGGCCGAAGTGGGGTGCATCGCAAGATGAAGGTGGGACGTATGCTGCTCCCTTCTCGTACCGTGTCCTTGCTCCAACCCGTCTGTGCGGCACAAGGTCGGGCCGCTCCAACGACTCGGAGGGGTGGTGTCGGGATCGACATTTGCCCAAAAACTAGGGTACCCAGACCAAGTGCCAAACATAGGTCTGTGCCCAGCCCCGAAAGCCAATAAGAGACTGAACTCGATTCGCGTCGCCGAGCCTTCGACTACCTTGCAAAATGCGAGCCTCGTGGAAGCGTTGCTGTCTGAGGAAGCGTTCCTCATGGATTGCTTGCCGCGTCAAGACCTGGCAACAGCCGCAAACCAGGGCTTCAAACATGCGGCAGAAAGAGTGATGGGCAACTGGGAAACCAAGGGGACAGGCCTCCTCTTGCAACACCTTCTGTGAGCCAGCTCGATACTCCGCTAGCTGCACCTGCGACGAAACCCGCCGAACGGAGCTCTCATGCTGACAAAGCCGGCCCAGACACTTTGAGATGCTCGTTACCATTGGCGGCCAGACTCACAGAGTCCTGCGTCTCGCCTCAGATGCAATCTGGCCTCTGTGGATTGGTGGACCGCATGACCAATGCTCCAGCCATGCAGCGTGTCTGCTTGCGAAGTTCAAACAAAGCCTCTTGCTGCCTCTCACGGCTCGACTCTCGGATTCGCTGGCAGCACATGGCAGCTTCAGAAAACAAAGAGACCCTTCTCGTAGGACCCAAATGGTTCCTGGCCTTCAAAATTTTTGGAAGCCAAACCCAAGTTAGGTCTCATCCCCCATGCGCCTGCTTAGGTCCGACCTCGCCATGCCCACAGCAGCCCGGAGTCGCTGGAGATCCTGCCTCCAGATTCCGACGCTCAAACTCGGAACTCCGAGGTCCGAGACCCTTCGGAAGCTGCGAGAAGAAGGCTTTACTGCCACCATCTCTGGGCTGCCATGAAGACACTCCAGAGCTTTAACAAAACATATCTTATGCATAACCATGTGTGTGTGTGTGTACATACACATTTTTTATAATGCATACTTTTGCAACATGCATGGCCTGGCACGCTCCTGAGCCGCCTCCGCATCTCGTCGCTGCACTTCCACCACCTCCCACTGCCGCTGCCGCCGCGTCTGCTCCTGGCAGGACCACAGGGCAACCCGGCGCATGTCCCGAAAGTTCTGGTTCGGCTGCGGCCGGCAGAAAGAGACCTGTCCTGAACGGCAACGGATCTCTCCGTCGCAACCGATCGGCTGACTGCTTGCAGCTGGCTCGAGAGGCGCTGCAGCTCTCGAGAGGAGCGTGCCTGCGACTCCACCCACTCTTCCCCTCCTGAAAGCAGCAGAAGGGCCCGGCCTGAACATCAGAGGTTCCCGCAGCTAGAAGCGCTTGCTGCTGCGCGGTCTGGAATGACTCCTCCAAAAGCTGCCACTTTCAAGGGCCACACAAACTACAGGGTGCACGCACCATAGGCGCCCCTGTTGCGGGAGGCACTTCCGATAATGTTAACATGCAATGGTATGCGCGATGCATTGCGAGGTCAGGGACTTTCAGGGCTAGACAAGGTTTGGCGCGAAGATCTTTTGTCACTGCGCTGTCCCCCATGACGCAGAAACGAGTGAGCGTTCGAACCTTGCGGGGGCTGTTGCGAAAGAAGAGTTGAAGTTTCGCATCTTCGCTGCACAGTGGGCCCTGTCAGAAACCGCGGAGACGACGTTCATAATCCATATTATGAGACACAGAAGTAAACTTGTAGATATGCATACATAGAATACATACACACACAGATATATATATATATATAGAAGCAATAGAAAATTAAAAAGAAAATATTTGCAGAAAGACTGTCACAAAGAACATGGTTCGCAACATAAAAATTCTAGTCAAGATTTCAAGACATCAAGAACGTGTGTTTGACTGCGAACCACAGGGTTTCGACACACACACACACACATTCGCACTCGGCTGGCAGCGTGTAGGGAGGATGTAACCATAAGTTCTGAAGGCCCAAGTATCCTGCGAGCCAGCCGCCTTGGCGGTGACGTCATTGATCCCCCCCGCACCCTCACACCCTCACCCCCCACCGCCGGGCAAATCGACAAATCCGAAGTGCTCTGAACGACAGAAACCTGACAAATACCGAGTCGAACAGCTGAAAAGTGAAGAAAAACACAGGGGCGTGCACGGCTCACGCTCCGACTACAGGCAGGATGTGGGGCACTCCTGCTGGTGCCTCTTCTGCTGGGCAGCTGTTTGCACATGCAACTCGCTCAGCTGGCCCTCCAAGCCCGCTTGCCGCGAGTGCCGCACCCGCCTGACAAGGGCAGGTGCCGCAAACGAGGTCACACTAATTCTGACTTGGAGTGCAAGCGGGCAGCAAGCAGAGCTTCAGCTTCTCGCAAATCTTCTGCTCCGCCGCAGCCGCTTCATCCAAGTACTCTCGCAGTCGGGCTTCCGCTGCTGTTTTATCCAAAGAAATTCCTTGCTGTAAGGGCAAGAAGTCAATTTTGGCATCGTGCAGTCCCACGGCAACTGCCGATGCCTCCAAGCGTCGGACGCCAGACAGCGACTTCTGTGCAGACCTGAGGCCTTTCTGAAGCCTCTGAATCTTCTCGGCCAAGAGTGCCGAAGTCCGGCTTTCTCTTGCAGCGAGCTGCTTCAAAGCCTTGATTCTGCAAGCTGGAAACACCCAGTGCGAACTGCAGTGAAATGTGAGCAGGGTCAGGCTTTGAGCTGGCAAGGACAATCCGACAGGACGCGCCCAATGCTTGTCTCGGGACTTCTTCTTGCCGAAGACGAAGTTCTCGTTCCCGGGCCTCTGCCTCAACAAGACTCGATCGCTGAAGCACGCCCGCATACAGACCGTTGCTTGGTGCGGATGCTGGCATGCGAGAGGCATGCAGTGTCACATGGACACCAAGGAATGGTGCGACTACAGTATATGCCTCTGATCGGGATCTTCTCTGCAGCTCCACCAGGTTTTCCTCAGGTGGGCTCAGGATACGAAACAAGACCAAGACGCTGTGGGAACGAAGGTGTTGCAGCTACGGCGCTGCTTGAAAGGCCTGCTCCTTCCTTTGAAGGTCCAACACGGCCTCCTGCTGAAAGGGTCATTTCCAGAGCGACTCTGTGGTTGAGGTGATACTCACTTCGAAGATGAGGGCATCCCTGGAAGCACGCTGTGAGGGATCAACGGGCCACACAGAGTGCACCAGGCATGAACTGGAGCAGTCCATCGCGTGCATGTTGGCCATGCTCTCGATCGAGCGTCACAATCCAAGCCTCCTAAACCGGACAAGAACGCCACACGGCCAGAACTCCTGAGCTTGGACCTGGTCGTCCAGCCGACGCACCCGTGCCTTCGGAAGCGCGGAGACAAATCTCGCGACAAGGACTGGTCAAGGCTTCCTGCCTGTGCTTTGGCCAGACTCTGCTCCAGGACGTCACTAGCTTCCGTCTCTTTGCGCAAGTTGGCACTCAGCTCCTCGCACTTCTGCTGCATGTCCTGCGCTCACCCATCTCAGATCCAAGCTGAAGGCTTGAACTCCGCCCTGTTTTCAGGGAGCACTCCAAGACTGTAAGAGCCTGCAGGGACTGCCGCAGCACATCGTAGCTTCCGGCAGCCCCGGCCTGCGGCATCTCTCGACTTGAGACCCTGAACGCCGAAGGCCTCCCGAAAAATCCTGGTCGCATCACGAATGCCTCTCTTGCACAAGCTTGGGGAAGCTTGCCGCAATCCACGAGTCCAAGCTCCGAAGGCATGCACACGCCACACCAAGCCTGCGTGGGCGCCGATAGAGCACAGACCTTGGAGGCCTCCTGCAGATCGAGCCTCGCGGTGCGAGTATCTAGCAGCGTCCATGTCGTCTTGGGACTTTTTGCTTGCACTACGAGTGTCGTGCAACTAGCTAGCAGCGTGCCAGGCAGCTCGACGGGGCGGAGTGCGTCCAGGATCGGCCGCAGCTCCGGCTTCCCCACCGATAAGCGGTCTCGGCAGAACTCCGCCGACCGACAGAGCCGCTGCAGCGCATGGAAGAGAGCTTCTCGCTGCTCCGTCTCCTTGCCGTTTCTTCATAAAGCAAAAACTCCCCTTGTCATCTGCAAAGTTTTTCTCACCTGAGAGAGGCGGCGCCGCAGCTCGGCCTCTCCAAGATCCGACGTCCAATGCATGGCACATCTTCTTTGCACTATGGTCTTATGGTCGCACCGGTGGTGCACCTTGAGGCAGAGTTTAGGCGTGTGTCAGTTTTTGGGTGGATCTGGGTCGGGAAGGGCCGTTCTGCGTAATGGTGAGGGTCTCGACAATCAGGTAGAAAGGAGGACGTCTGACGAAGGTTTGACGAAGTGGTTGATCCAGTTCTGTGGCATGCAAGTGTCGCATCTAGCCACCAAACTTGAGCAAAGCAAAATCAAAAATTTCGTTCATGGAGGCAAGCTGTGAGCTAGCAGCTAGAGGCGTGGAAGCTTATGGCATTGAGAAACTGCGGCCAAGCCTGTTTCCCTGGCACACCTGAATGGATCCCGAGGTACTGCTCAACATCCCTTTGACAGGTACCTCGAAACACCTTACGAATCTGATCCTTATTTGTAGCACTATTCAACTATTCCAACACGGCAAAGACGATTTGAGCAAAGACTGGCCTCGAAACCGATGTAAAGACACCTGGCGAGGGTACAGGAGAAGTCCTTGGATACCATACTACTGCGGCTGCAGCGATGGCATATGTGGCCTCTCGGTGCCTTGAACGAGATCTCCGTCGATTGAAGGTGGGTGGACCTGATAGACACAGACGCCAAGCGGCTCCCCAAACCTCTGGAGAGAATGCAAATACGTCAACTTCAGGGAAAGGGAAAGCCCACGGCGCTCACGGTCTGGACGGTGTTCATCCCGCCGCGTAAGCACCCCTTTTGGATGTTTGACCTCGGCAGCCGCATAACAACTCAAGGACACCGCAAATTTTGCACCGCACGCATCACGCGACTGTTGGTGAACCAAAAAAATGGTGCCGCACCTCCCGAGCTCGAAGTTCTATCGAACGGCCTGCAAGAACCAGAACGGAGTGACAGCCACGCTCGTCTTTAGCTTATCATTCATCACGTTGTCTTGTCGCCGGGCGTGTGCTGAGAAGCAGCAGCTCATGACAAACATAAGCGGGTGTCATCTGGCAACGCCTTTCACTTTAGCGGATCCGAGTTGTTGGTGCTCGAGCATCCCGGCACTGGCGATGCCCCACACTGCAAAGCCAGTGCACTCCCGGCCAAAGCACCAGCTCAAGCTGGATCCTTACGTGAAACACATATTAAATTTCAAAGTCTGGACATGGCTGCCCCGAAGCCTTTTCCTCCGAGGCCCGATTAAGGACCTAGAGACCAGAGGATGAATAGGTCCCAACTTGCATCCCTCAGCATGCCCCGCGCTGCTTCTTTGCTTTCTTCGAGGACTGCGCAGCCAGGGCAGCACTTACGGCTCCACCTGTGAGGCTGCGCTTGTTGCTGCCTCGGATGCTGCACCGCGCAGAGAGCCCGGAAAGAAGGGAATGGACTGCACAGCCAAAACTAAAGGTCCCTTCCGGACAGGATCTGATGTGCAGGTCCAAAGACCGACACCCCTCGCCGAGTGTCCCGGGCTCGGTGTCTGCGGTGAGGATCCAGAGCCCCGTTTCAGGAGGCTAGGCCGTCGTTGGGGCGTGGTCAGGACCTTGGTAGCTGTGCAGGGGAGGCCGGCATCGACAGTGTAACGCAGAGGTAAGAAGAGACTGTCCAAACGGCCCGCAGAATCGGCCGGACTCGCTTGCACGTTCGATGTCAGACTGTCAGCCAATGTTTCCACGCCATGCTCGCACGAACGCGAAACGCTGAAGCCGAAAAAAAAAACACACGCAGCAGGGCACAGCTGGGCTCTAGGCACTAGCATCCTCCAACATGGATGCTTCGGGCGCTCTGAGCACCTGATGAGCCATTAACCAGATCGCAACAACACCCAGAATGCAAAGAAGCACTGGCAAAAGCACTGCCTGAGTCTGCAATGGTGAAGAATCCGATGCTTGCCCCACATCTTGCAGGGCTGGCGTCTCCGGCACCTTGCGCTCCTGCCACTAGCCAAGACGAGAGAACCCCCGATGACAGAAACCCGGAGCAGCGTTTGGACTCCCTCGGACAGTGCCAGGCTACAAGTTTAGGGTTTCGACTCTCACACTCGCACAAGGCCGGCAAGGCTCCGCATAGTTCTGTCTCCACTCCACTACAGAGCAGCCAGAGGGTTTCACAACTGCATGCATCCTACACTTCAGGCCAAGAAGTGACACTAACATCAATAACAAAAACGGCTATAACCAAAAAGCACCACGCAGTTGCAGCCCTCGACAAGTTCAGGGTTTCGGGTCTAAGGCGGTCCTGCTCACTGTGGCGATCCTTTAGAACGGCCGCATTCAGACGCTGCTCAACGATGGGGTCAACTGCAAAGAGCTGGGCGGGCATGCTGCCTCGAGCCTGAAACGATGGGGGAAGGATCCGACTGAGATGCACTCAGCAAAGCTGCCAACGCGCAGCCACACGATGAACTGATGCCAAGAGTCAGCTCCCTGCAGCAATGCTGCAGCTTGTAAGCCCAATTCGGGACAACGCTTCTCGGCGACATATCGTAGAACGCTGGCAGCGGTCCTCACCGAGGATGTGCGGTCCTCCGGGAAGTGCGTCATGAGGTCCCGCATGGCAGCGGGCGCAACATCCCAGATGCTATGCACAGGCCCGGCACAGCATGGATCCCCGCCCGCCTCGCGATCGACAAAATAACGGGTACGGTCACAGACCCGCAGAGCCGTTCCGAGGAGCTCGGCACCCTGAGAGTCGCAGTGCAGCAGAGCTTCACAGAAGAAGCTGGACACCTGTTGAGCGGGGCACAGGCCTGGAGGGTAGCCCTAAGCTGTTCTGGGAACAGCTTCTGCTCACTGCAGAACATGAAAGATAGGTTCAGCCATGATCGAGGGTTGGAGAAAATGCGCAATCCCAGTTTCAGGTGTTTGCAGAACAACCAACCGGTTCCCGTCCTCCTTTCCCCCTTACGTCCCATGCAGGGCATTCACCTCCCCTGCAAAAGACTTTGTTCCGCACCCAACCATTTTTCAGATCTTTCCACTCTGCACCGCGACCAAATGAACAGCATCCGAACCAAGCTGCATTCGATGTTGGTCAACAACCCACTTGAATCCACGAATCTGGCATCCTTGTACTCCTGCGTTGAGCCTTCAGCCTGCGAAGATAGACTTCGTACGGAATTGGCTCCTTCAACATATCATCTCCCCGGGGCATGCTCAAACATGTGACAACCTCAGTCGCAGTGCCCATCGCAGCAATTAGTAACACGTATGCATGGATAAGCCTTTAGAGCTTTGCATGCGAGCGACGAGGGAAGCCGGGAAAGACCCTGCCCCCTGCCTTGCTGCTTTCTGGAAAAGCCGACACAGCTGCTGCCTCACGTTCGAAGATCTGAAGCCTCCGAAAATCACGCGATCGTAGCTGCCGACAGCAGAAACGTGCTGGAGCCTTGACAGGAAATGCACGAAGCACGCCACGGAGAAGTCCAGCAAGCCTGGTTGAGAGCCTCGCAGCAATCCATGTTATATCATGTTATCAAGCTTTGCAAATGCGGTGGAAGGCCTTGCTGGGCGGTCCGCAGCCAGCCCTGCAGCAGCTTCTGCCCTGCATCCCGGTGCTTCTTCTGGCCGAAGCAGAAGATGGATGGCAAGGTGGTGCAAAGTCGCAATCCTCGTGCTAGGCTCACTCTCTCTGACACTCTGTGCGACACATTCTTCGCAGGGCCTTCGTCACAGCATACAGCCGCCAAGGCACGGTCTGCAATCTTCAACTTCGCATGCTTTTGGAACTTCTGGAGGGCATGGAGCAGCTTGTCACCGTCACTCGCAGGGCGCCCGTCTGCCACCAAATCACCGCACGTCTCTGACAACTGGGCCAACAACGCCGATGATAGCTCCACGCAGCCAAGCCGTAAACTTCGAAGTGAGGCACAGGCCAGATGCAAAAGAAGACCGTCCGATGAGACTTGACTGGTGGTGTCGGACACGGGGACAATAGCCTTCGAGCCTTGCATGGAAGACCCGAACCCTTGCATCACAGTTGCCAAGAAAGAGGCAGCGCTGCCTGCCGCCACGACCTCTGCTGCCGCAAACAGCAGCAGTTGCAGTGAAGACTCGGACTCGGAGGCTCCAGCAGGCGGGCGCAGGAGAATGTTCTGAGCGATTTCGAGAAGGGGCTTCCAGTCATAGTCGCGGCAGGCTTCGCCGCAGTCGGCGGCATTTTCCAAGATGGCAGCTGCAAGATGGAGGGCAACGACCCTCGTGGAGCCCGCTTCAAGTTCGCCTTCGCCTGTTTCGCCTGTTTCGCCTTCGCCTCCGCCCCGAAGGTAACCGTCTGCCCAGGAGAGCAGCTGCTTGACCACCGAGGCACGACAGTCGTCGGAGAGCAGCAGCAGAATTCTGACAAACTTGCGTGCAGAGCTTTGAAAAGGAGGGACCATGACATGCAACGCTTGGAGCAGCAGCTCCGGAAGACCCGTCTCATCAAGCTTTTGAGACAGGCCACCCAGGCAGACCACTTGCTTCTGAAGTCGGCTCAATGCTTGCAGAATGGTCTGAGCGTCCTCCTGGCTGCAATCCTGCAGGAGCTTGACCATCTCGCCGACGAAGGGGACAAATGCCCCAACGAAATACTTCGGCAGGTAGGCCACGGTTGCGCGGGCTGCCGTAACCATATCCGGAGCCAGTTTCGCCTCCTCCCCTGCCTGCCCGGTCCAAACATCCAGGAGTGCTGCGACCTGATCGGGAAGCAGCCATGTAGCCATTAGGGCTCGACGAATCAGGGGAGCGATCTCCCCCAGCCGATGCACTCGCAGCAGCCGGTCAAGCTCACAGACCTGATCGGACATCTTGCACGTGCTGTCCTGCATATCAGGATCGAGCAAGTGATCCAGATGAGCCCAAAGCAACTTATCCCGGACAGCATCGAGTGAACGTAAGTGTAGTCCGAGTGCCTCAGGCCTTGCATACTTGTCGTCCAGTGTGGGGCTCCACTTTGCCAGGTTTTCGAAGAGATCCGCGAAAGGAACGGCCGGCGTCTCGCCTTCGTTACTTTCGCTCGGAAGGAGGCTTGAGCTTCGAACTTCTCCAAGCGGCGAAGCATTTTCAAGGCGCGCCCGAACAAAGCGGCGCAGGGCTTTGTGGGCATCCCGCTTCTTGGACAGCAGCATGCCCAGACCGTGCTTTGCCGCCTCTGGGCCGCACAGCGCCGAGCTGCAGAGACCGACCAAAGCAAGTGCACGCTGGTCCTGTGGCAAACCCGCACCGCAGCCTAAAATGTGCTGTTCGATGAGCTCCTCAATCTGCGCAACATAACCCAAGCGGGCGCCACAAAACACTGAATAAGCTTCACACAGAAGTTGAGGTATCCAGCACAATTTCTGTGCTTTTTGCCCTTCACCTTTGAGCCAGTGAGGCAGGGCATGCTGCGCATAGAGTTGTGCAGAGGCCTGCGCACAGGCTTCGCGAATCCGAGGCTTCTTGTCCAGGATCCTCTTGCAGATTTCGGGCAAGTTGGGCAACATGAAGGCCAGACCGTCATCGGAGGCGAGGGCAATGTGGGTGCAGATTTCCACGGCCCGGAGTCGCACTGCATCATTGGGATCCAAGCATCTGTGCGCCACCTTGGTTCGGATGCCTTCCGCAGCTGCCATACTTGCAGACCCAGCAGGGTCATCTTCCTGGCAACCAATCGCCACCACGGACTGCAGCACGGCAGATGCCCCTTCCAAGGCTGTCATGCGAACTCTGTCGTCAGCATCAGCAAGGCGTTCCTGAAAACGCTCCACGAGCCCTGCAATGCCTGAAGATGTGGCCAAGGCCATGCCGCAGGAGACTCCGGAAGAATCCGTGTGCTGATGTGCCAGCAGCTGTGCAATGAATGCCGTGATCGCTCTCCGTCTGTCAGGCTTCGCACACTGCAAGTCTGCATGTAAGTTGGGAAGCACCCGCACCACCAAAGACGGGTGGATGCAGTACAACTCGTAAGTTGCATTTAGGAGTCCCTCGAGTCGATCTTGCGACAGCTCTGCCTGGCCATCCTCCGAGAGGAACAAGCTCTTGTTCAGCAAGTCGTTCAAGGGAAGCGCCACACGCTGGCTCTTGAAGGTGGTGAAGTTTGAAAGGACTTGTCTCACCATCGCCGCTCCGGGAGACTTCCGTTCCACAATCTCCTCCAGGAGCTGCTCCAGGACCGCTTGCGGAACTTCGTCGGCCTCGGACAAAGAGGGGAGCTTGTGGTCTAGGACCTAAGGGCCTAGGAACTCGGCAAGACACGACAGCTGGGCCCCGGTCCTCCAGCAGAACGTCTGAGAGCAACCTTGCCAGCAGCGCTTCCAGTCTCCGCTGCGCATCTTCTGTCGCACCAATCCTACCGGATTGTCGTGCGGCTTTCGCTGCACCGATGCAGGTCTTCGCCAACGAGATGATCAGGCTCTCCACGTCGGAAGCGGCACAGTCGAAGACCAGCATGAAACCACGGATCTGCAGGACTCTGGTGGGGGGAAAGACTTACGACAGAATTTGCCAAAGCCTCATCAGACATGCACTGCGGACCTCCTCGAGGCGCTCCAGCAGGCCGAAGGAGTAAGCATAGGTCTGCGTAGATGGGTTCAACGATGCCAGCTGCTCCAAGAAAAGCTCCAGGATCGGCCGAAACCTGGTCACGTGCGCCAAAGAGGGATGGTTCAAAGAGGGGGGGCCGCTGGTTTCCGTGTCCGGCCTCTCTGTCTCAAAGGGCGGGGAAGGCACGAAGATGCGAAGCACCTCCGTGGAAGCCACGTTGCGAAATTGAAGTCTCACAGACTCTCGACATTCTACTGCTGACTTGGAGCTTGCTCGTCCTAATCTCACTGTTCGGGGCTTTAACATGAATGGTAGCAGCTGCCCTTCACATGTTGTCTATCAACCCAGGGATGATATCGTCGAGCCAGGGGCTGGCCAGACAGCCGCAGTGGTGCGAACTTCTTGGGAGAGGGAGGGGGAGAGAGCTGAATATCGATTTTTTGTATGTTGCTACATACATACCAATACAAAAATAAGACCCTCTCTCTCTCGCGGACTCAGAGGTCTGTCAGCCGCGCGGCCGTCAAAATAAGACTCTACAACTACATATTTTACATAAGAATACAAACCCACAAATCGCACACTGACTGTTGGACGATTCTGCTTCGATCTTCCGGCGTTGTTAGCCTGGGGAGCACGGTCTGACCAAAATCACAGGCAACGTGGTTCTGCAAGCTTTAGGCTTAGCCGCATGCCAGTCTATCGCTGCAAGTAATTCATGTAAAGAATTCTGGATATCACCACCGTGCCGGAGTCTTCCTTGCCCAAGACCCAGTTTGTTTCCTGCAAACCCTGCACTTCGAGCTCCGTCTCAAGAGCGACTATAATCAAACTCCGACAGGAGCTGAAGAATCAGACATTGAGACTGTGTCCAGTAGCAGCAGTAGCACGTGTTTGCCACACCTCCGCAAGGCACTTCGCGGCCCAAAGCCGCACCTCTGGGCTGGCATGGCGCATGACGCTTGGCTGGCAGAGGGCGCGTGCGGAGTCCAGGTCTCCCTTACCTGCAAGAGGCGGTCATAAGAAGAAGACAACACAAGGTTCGAGTAACATTTCCTGCGTGCAGATGCAGCTATCTGCATCCGAGGGCCTTGTGGCAAGGTTTTCAAGGTTTCGAAAGCCTGCTGCAAGCTTTGCAGGGCATCCTCACGAGAGAGTGGGGCCGCTGGGGCCTTGGTTCCGCCACAAGAAGCACACGTCCGACCGCAGGCTTTCGATCGCCAAGTTGCTAAAGCGGCACTGGCAGTGCCTGTTTTGGTCTCACGCTTTGTGCGACCACCCGCCATGGCTTCAGAACCCCAGCGATGGAAGTATGACAAACCAGCCAACACTTCTTGAGCCACACCAAAAAAGGCAAACTTGCTAGTCGCAGTTGGGAGCAAGAGTGTCAACGTGAATCGGCCACAGTCTGGGACAGTGACGCTCCGGGGTCACAGGTCTCAGTTTTCCCCGCTCAGACCTTGATAGAAAGCGCTTCGTCGTAGAATCACTTCTCGAGGCTACGGCAGAGGTCACTTAGCCCGCCACGCTGACAGCCGAGCCACCGCTCGTTGTCTGAGGTGCGGGAAGCCGCCCTGCCCCAAAATGAGGCTCCGCTCTGCTGGCTCTGCATATGGGGGGAAGGCACTGCAGGCTTAGGGAGGCTTGGGGAAACTGTGGTTGCTGACGTGTTTGGGTTCTGGTGCGAGCGGCTTGGGGTAGGATTGCCGTGCAACAAATGCCTGTGTGAAAGCTTCCAGGAAGGCTCGGGACTTCTTGACTCTCACACTCGCACAAGGCCGGCAAGAAGGGTTGAGGCTGACGTTGCTGAGCTTAGGAAATTAGGCATTTGGTGTTGTTTTTTGCCTCCCACCCAGCTAGGACGAGCCCGCATTGCAGGGTATGGGCTTTCGGCTTTCTCACATTGTCGGCCTATCTGTGAGCTTTAAGAACTAGTTAACTGGTTGCCAACAACTGGGCTCCGGGCAATGTCGGCTAAAGGGTCCGCATAAGGCGCTGGTTTTAGCCTGGTGAGCTGAATTGCACCGTCATGCAATGGCTCTCTGCTGCCACGGCTCTCAATGTGGGGCTGCGGCGCCACATGTTGCACCCTGTCGACTCTTCGCACTTCCCTCAGAATCGGTGGTCTCGCAGGCTCCAGTCTGATGCCAACGTCCTGCGTTGACGACCAACAGCGGATCCTGCAGCGGTCCGCAGCCCTGCCGTCCTTCTCGTGCTCCCAAGCATCAGCCAGGTTCGCGACCCCTGGTCACCCCCAAGAAATTGAGTTTAGTTGGGTGCTCTGGAACTGCCCGAGAGCACGACCATTCCTAGGTAGGTCTAGAATCTGCACCTTTGGGCAATCGCCCAGCCAGAAAGCAGCCATATGCAGCCATCAAAGGTCTGCCGCTTGATGCTGGGCTGCTTGCGGACATGCTGTCACCCGTCCATGTTAGCCGGATCCAACCATCCTGTGACTGCCGGAGGCTGAGGCCGTCCCACACCCAACTATCCTGCCGAACCCTGCCCGTCTGCCTGTGCAGCCAGTTGCAACCTCAGGCAAATCGGAAACCGGAACCGATCAAAAACCGGAACGAGTCACACCGCTTTACTGGAAACGGCTTGTGTTGGCAAGACTTGGGGGCTGGACAGCTTCCCGAGCTTTTCGAAGGGAGTTTTCTGGATCGAAAATTCTCGGCTATGCTTCCTCTCAGGCCCAAGAGCCAACGCACAGAAAAGGAGACACAGGCACAGGGTTCGCAGCAACGGTCATGCGGCCTCATAGAAGCAGACAGCTCCTGTCCCGTGATTGATCTCCCACTTGCAGATGCCTTCAGCGCTTGCCAGTGAGACGAACCAAACCCATACACTCGGAAAGAGTGCTGCAGGCTTGGTCCATGAAAGACTTTACTCGACTTCCTAGCGCACAGTCGTGGTTCAGCGCCTAAGTTCAGCAATGGATGAGAGATCGTAGATAGTATGCCATGGTAACAGGTGATATAGAACTCAACCCTCTGCTTATGTGTCTTCAACAGTATTTCCGCGAAGTCTTGGAGAAGGGATCCTCCAAGTTCTTCGAATCTTATCTCCGCCAGCGCAGCACCCAGTGCCCACGGATCCATGTAGAAGAAGCCGCATATCGTGAAAAGACCCACTTACGGCCGATCTGTATTTGGGCCCTGCCTCGAATTGGCTCAAGCTGTCGAGGAGCAGTTGCAAAGCCTTCGCGCAAGAGGGGCGATGTTGGGATGCAAGGTTTCGGACAAAGCCTGTTCGGCCTGTTCTGTCATGGTTTGTCTCCTTTGGGCTTAGCCCCTGTCTCTCCCTTCGCCGCTCTGCACCAGCTGCAAAGCTCTGTCCCCAGTCGCCAAACATTTATCCGATTTCGCTTGAAAGAACATGAGAGCCTCCTGCGCCGAATGCCACCTTGGCCTGCCCATCCAAGTTCTGATTTGCTTGCGCCAAGACCGCTGTTTTGGGGGCCTCCTCTCCTGCGACCAACCATCAAACCTGCCCGGACGGAGCATGCGAGGCTTGGACCTTAAGGACAATGGAGCACCTTGCTCTGGGATCGCTGGATGATCTAGGCGACCGGGATCGTCCTACCAGTAACAGTCTCGAACTGATCCCTGTTTGACTGAGACGATCTTGCGATGCTCTCGGCCTTGCACAGCTGGCCGCCTGCGGCCGCAAAACTGGTAAGGGAAGACCGGCTCAAGTGCAAAACGGCAGGGCTCCCACTTGTTCAGCTCGATCCACAGCTCGGTAAACGAAGGCACTTCCTGGCAGACGAAGCTGGGTTGCACTATGTTTGGGTTGGGAATGTTCTGCAGCGATGCTGTGGGCACGTCTTCAATATGCCCGGGAAGCCTCGCCGGACCTCGCAGCAACAAGCCAAAGGCAGAAAAGAGCATGAGAGTCGCGTCGTCTGAGCAGGTCAACGGCTGGGGCTCTGGGTTGCTGACCCCAACGCCAGGTCGACCTCCTTGACCTCGCGACAACAGGCCAGGAAGTGAATGGTTTATAGGCTTCCAACTCTGGGAACCGAACCCAGCGTCGGTACTCTGCCGAAGCTGCCAGGCGGTCCGACTCGGGGCGTCACGGCAATTCCAGCATGGTTCATGACTTCCCACACATGGCTTCTGAGTACTTGACGAGGTCCGGTCCACCACCACCTCGCAAGTTCATTTGTACCGAAGCGGCGGAGATGCTCAGACTATGCTTTCGCAGTTTATTCTGGACCTGGCACGGGGTAACCCTGTGAAGGGTTATCCATCTCTGGTCTGCAAAGCGGCCTGCTCTCATCGGTGTCAGAGAACAGTCGCAGCGGGTCGGCTTTCCCTAAAGACAGTCTATGTACAGAAACCGTTGGGCGTGGAAATCGACCCAACAGCGCATGACCACCGAATGTGAACATGTCTAAACCACTAAGGATGGCTTTATGGCCTTCCATTCGAGGCGCACCCTGCTCAGCCATCTGTGCCCACATGCCGCTGCGCATGTTGAAAGACCATGTGTCTTCAAGAGATGTGAACTCTTCATCGTTGTACCCACCTGAGACGATGATTCGGTGCCCCAGGGATGCAGCGGCAGCATTCCGGCGAGCCAACGGGGCTGCCGGAGCGGCATCTTGATCACTTGGGTCTCCTACACCTTTCCAGGCATCAGGATCCCAGCGCCCCATCCTCAAGTCCAGAACGCTCGTGGTCTTCATGAAGTTGTCCTCAACGAAAGGCCTCACAAAGCTGAGAGTTCAAACACAGGTGGCGAGATGCAGAAGCACAAAAGGCATGGTGTTTCAGAAGGGACTTGGTAAGCAGATCGCACTGACTCAGCCGTCGACTGTGACCTTCTCACCCCGAAGCACACGATCAGGCGCTGAGCTTCATCGTCTGCAGCTGCCACATGCCCGGCTGGAGCAGGTCCACCATCGCAAAGCTTGTGGAACTGCTCCGTCGAAGAATCAAAGGTCCAGACCTTGCACCGTGCTGCTGCATCATGGAATTAGGCGAGTGGATTTGCCTAGGAAAGCTGCTTGTCGGCCAAGCTGCAGCATCCCGCGAACTGCCGTTCCCCAGACCACCAACCAATGCCAACCTCTTTTTGTCCGGCAAGCCTGCCGTTGAGCTCTTACGGAACCGCACAGCTACGTCGGTCTGTTTCCGGCGGCTGCCGTACTTAGTTGGCGAGCGTTCATCACGGCAGGCTGTATGTATGGTCTGCCCCACGCCTATTCACCCCACGGTCCTAGCAGTCATGAGCAGCCCCGTCATTGCACCTGTCGCCGTGTGGAAAGCAGCTGCCGGCGGGCGATTTTCGCAGCGAAGTTCACTCCACCGTGGGCCATCTGGCTGAAAACGAAGCATCCATGGAATGTCCGTGTCACCTTCACGGCTCCACCCACCCCAAAGTAATGCTGGCCCAGATGGGTGGGCTTGCGAAGTCGTTGTAAGAGTCGCACCCCAACGAGAACAGGGCCACGGTGTTGAAGGATTGCTGGGCTCTATGGTGGTGAACTTCACCTTACTCCGTCCAGTGTGATTGCCCCTGCTTGCTCTGCATGGCTGGTGCAACACTTGTAACTGAGGCAGCAGCACTGCCATAGTCATCCGGCGGGAGGTCCACCATGCAAAGGGTTGGAGAAGATTGCCATCCACCAGCAACTCTTACGGAGGTATTTCCGCCAAAGAGTACAGCTCTTTCTTGCCTCAGGGCTGCGAGGTTTCCGGAGACTTTGATTGGTTCGGCAACGTCTGCTGTAAGACGAGGTGCGGCCCCGGCGCACCACACAGTGCAAGACCCTGCCGATGGGACGGAACGGCTCCAGTACATGGCACCTCTGACCACCACACCGGGCAGTCGTCGAGTGTGGCCAGCACCTGCCGCAAACCGGAGATGACTCGCTGACAGGATGCCTGCCGCATGTTGGCATTTACCCCATGCCTTGGCCACATCCCGCCAGGTGAGCTCCGGATGCCGAATTCGAGCCACACGTCCGCACCTTGCAAGCCTCAGTTCATCTCACTGTCATTCCAGGTTCCGCAAAGATTATCGACATTGAAAAGATTCCCAAATGTCTGCCTCTCTGTCGCTCTCTGTGGCTGTGCCTTGCTTGCTTGCTCAGGGTACGGTACAGGTCCTCTTTGCCCCTCTCTCTCTCGCTCCTTCGTTCTTTCACACGGGTAAGAACAGAGGGTGCGGCCCTCTTTCCCGTGCTCCAGGCGACCCCCAGACGTTGTGGGGAGTGAAAATGTATTTAGCTGCCTAAAGCAAGACTTTTGCCAACAGGGCTCAAAGTGCAGCCCTGAGGCACATCAGCAATCCCAAAGCGGAAGCAAGCACACGGACTAGCCGTAAGAAGTGCTTTAGCGAGTTCTACGCCTCCTATGCCGACACTCATCAGGAAAATGCACAGACATGGCTGCCCTATCGTAGACAAATAAAGATTGCATCACATAGGTTCGGATACTTGCTTGCTGCCAAGTAAAGGTGCCGAAGCGCCCCCCAAAAAACCACTCAGGGTCGGATACTCTCTTGCTTGCTTGCTTGCTTGCTTGCTTGCTTGCCTGCCTGCCTGCCTGCCTGCCTGCCTGCCTGCCTGCCTGCCTGCCTGCCTGCCTGCCTGCCTGCTTGCTTGCTTGGGGTATGAGGGCCTAAACCCTCTCTTTGCTTTGCTTTGCTTTGCTTAGGGCTTGAGGCGGGGGCAGGCCCCCCGTCCCGCGCGCAAGCGCTGCCCCATCCATCATTCTGAAAGGATGGGCTCGGCTGTACGAAGAGCCGACTGTACTAGGTTTGAGTCGCAGGGTCGAGTGCCCTTGTTGGTTCGCAAGCCTCCGTGGGGGCAGTTTGCAACAGGAGGCCACAACCAGTAGTTCAAAGCAACAGGTGCCTCCCAGGAGTTAGCTACCAGGAAACAAGTGCCTCTCTGAAAGAATAAAAAGGCGGATGTCCCAGGGAAGTCAAAAACATGCCGTAATTA